GTCACCGTTTACATCGCTGATTCTCTCCCCAACGGCGCTCACAACAACAACAACGGGGGACTGCATCGGGTCGATGATCGTGTTGCTTTTAATCATACGAAGCCAGATTAAATTAAATAACGACTTCTCCAACATTATACTTTTCTCCAGAGTGCCGTGGTTCATTGTTTATTAATGTGTTTCAGCGGCATTTACCGACCGCTGCAGTGCTGGCTGCTCTTCCACGGGAGTTTATTCTCCCGTTAGCCTCGGGTTAGCTCACACGGCTCTAAAGTATTCACTGTCTGACTGTCACACAAGCAGCTGATACATATCCCCAATTCCCCATAAGTGAATGTGGGTCAGTCTGAATACTGTTTGGCATCACAACGCTGTTATGAAAGTTTCTCTGGTATAACATGGGTGATGTTAGCACAGGGTTGCCAACTTTGGGTACCTGGCTGGAGTGAGATTTTGATATCATGGGTTTAATTCGGTTTAATTACACATATGCGCACGAAATGACTGCTATCGTGTCAGCAGCGGGACCTTAGCATATATATAGGATATATATACAATATATACAAATACACAATAATGGACACAGACTATAAAGGGCACACAGTTTCATTCACTAATGAAAGTCAAACATGTTTGTTTCCACTGTTTTATTGTGTGCCTGTCGCGATAAGCAATTAATTGACTTATCGTACGATAAATAAAAATGAACTCGATAACTTTTCTGACCTCGATAAATTGCCATTTACATGAGGATGTGACAAGCAGTTTGAAAGGATGTACTTGAATTATTATTATATATTATCATTATGTCAGTGGTCTAAAATGGTCATACAACGGTGCCGACAATATTATCGTTTATCGCAATAATTTCCGGGAAAATGTATCCAACAAAATTAATTATCGTGAGAGGCCTATACATGAAACACACACACACAAACAAATCTACAGACTTACTCCAAACTGCCAAATATATTAATTAACACACTCTCACTCTCATATACTCTTTGACTCTATTTTGGCCTAGTAGAACAATAAGCAGCAGACTTTTACTTTGTATCATTTCTACTGGATCTTAGATCTGCGCATGCGCTCCAGAGTATTTTTGTTGGGTAATCTATGGTAGGGCTAACCCATACAGTGGTGGGGCTCAAGTCAGTATTTGCAATGTAATTACATACACGCTCCCCCCGACAGTGAAACGCCATGCATGAGGTTTAGATTATTTCCCTGTCTCAATCCAAATTGAACTGTATGAAATAAAAAGGCACATTTGTCTTGTAGTAAATAAAAAGGGCGACCTGGAGCAAATCCTGCAATTTCCCCACAGGTGAAAGAGTTGACATGCTGAAAACCCAACCCCTGCAGGGGGGTCTCGGGGGATTCTCCCCCAGGAGATTTTTTTAAATACTAACATAAAATACACATTCTGGTACTCTCTTGAGAAGAAAAATAAATAAATCTATTACTACACATTTAAAAAAATGAATGCCATTTTTGTTTTGTGTTACTTTGTTCTGAAAGCTGAACCTGCTGCTCCTCACAGAGAGAAGAGGGAAGAGGCTGTGTGAATTACTTTACATTGTGGATAAGGGTGGATAGCCCCCATTGTTCTGTGTGTCAAAATGAAAGACAGCCCACACACCTATCAATCATCAAACCATGGGGTCTTATTTCATTACGTGTTGATTTCTATCAACACGTAATGTTGTATCGATGTATAGAGATGTACTACCGCAAAAGTATTCTCCAAAAACAAAACTTCTGCCTGCTCTCCACAATGATCAATAACAGCGAACGGATGGTCAAAGTAAGGTACATATAAACAGAATCACACGAAGCCTGGTTAGTGTTGCCTGACTTTATAAGTGTGTGGTTGCCTTCTAGTCCCTTTGCTCAGCGCTACTTCTTGTAGGCAGGCATGACGAGACTCTTCAGTCGACCCATGTTCAGGGGAGGTGGGTTTAGTTTCCTGCACGCCTCGACGTAAGAGAGACGTAAGCGACGCCGCCTCTTAGTCTAGTCTTGCTTCTAGACCGACAATTTTTTGGAGCTGGAAACTAACTGGACTCCGGAGCTAAGAGGCGGCGCCGCTGCGGTGTGAACAGGAAAAAACGGTACTTTTCAGGCTCTAGCTCCGAGCCGGCGCTGAAAACGCGTTGGTGTGAAAGGGGCATCAGTGGCGGCGCCAGGGTATGGCTGGGGTAGGCTACAGCCATACCAAGAAATGGCTTAGCCCCACCTTAGCCCCACCATGAAAAATGATGTTAAAGTAAGCAAAATAAAGTCCGCCAACTCGCGCGGAGTAAATTGCACAGACAGCAGTTAGTAAGATTGATTTCAGTAGCCACTTGTCTGGAAATACCGAAGACTAGAAACGGTTTTGAAAACTTTTGTCACGTAGTGATCGTCTTCTCAATAAAACATCTTTGGTAATGTCTTCTGGCCAATCAGAATCACGATAACGGCGTGGTGTTGTTGCAGGAAGTCCCGACGGAGAATACTTTTGCGGTAGTACATCTCTATACATCGATACAACATTATGTGTTGATAGAAATCAACACGTAATGAAATAAGACACCACGGTTTGATGATTGATAGGTGTGTGGGCTGTCTTTCATTTTGACACACAGAACAATGGGGGCTATCCACCCTTATCCACAATGTAAAGTAATTCACACAGCCTCTTCCCTCTTCTCTCTGTGAGGAGCAGCAGGTTCAGCTTTCAGAACAAAGTAACAAAAAACAAAAATGGCATTCATTTTTTTAAATGTGTAGTAATAGATTTATTTATTTTTCTTCTCAAGAGAGTACCAGAATGTGTATTTTATGTTAGTATTTCAAAAAATCTCCTTGGGGGAGAATCCCCCCAGACCCCCCTACAGGGGTTGGGTCTTCAGCATGTCAACTCTTTCACCTGTGGGGAAATTGCAGGATTGGCTCCAGGTCGCCCTTTTTATTTACTACAAGACAAATGTGCCTTTTTATTTCATACAGTTCAATTTGGATTGAGACAGGGAAATAATCTAAACCTCACGCATGGTGTTTCACTGTCAAGGGGGCGATATAGCGTGTATGTAATTACATTGCAAATACTGACTTGAGCCCCACCACTGTATGGGTTAGCCCTACCATAGATTACCCAACAAAAATACTCTGGAGCCGCCACTGCCCCCTCTGGAGACGGGGGTCACAGGCCCTCGGACAGTTTGGCCGACTCATGATAGATTTGACTGAATCACTTAAGGGGACTTAGCAGGCCGTTGAGAAATGCAACCCTCCATAAATGCAGAGCGCTGTCCTCTTAGTAAATTGTGCTTTATTTTATGGACTTCAACTGTTTTTTTCCGGTCAAAGTCTGGAAAATACCAGTTAATGGAAACACTGGCTAGACATTGCTTTCTTATCTTTGTCATGTATATTTTTTCTCAGCTCGCCCCATTCATTTCAGCTCATTCAGTGGTGGTAAGATGTGTGGTGCAGCATCATGAAAAATATAGGTGATGAAAGATTAACTTCTCAAGATGTCACTGTCCTGAAAAACAGTGTTGAATTTTTTTTTATTTTGGCCTGATTGGGTGCTAGATGATCGATCAAACTCCAAAAACATGCACAATCATCCTCCTGAGACCATACATATCCAGAGACGGATTCACAGAAATATGTCTGAAGTTCTATAAATAAAGTATTGGATGGAGGGACAGACTGTCCACTTAAAGGGCCCATGTCATGGCCATTTCCACTGATCATAATTCCATTGTTGAGGTCTACTAGAATAGATTTATATTGTGCATTTTTCCAAACTCACATTGGTTTCTCATACAGCATCTCTGTAAACTACGTGTATTCACTGAATTTCACTCTCTGCCTTTAACGGCTCGTTGTAGCTCCAATAGCTCCAGCCCCCACCCTCCCTGTGAGCACAGTGTGCTCTGATTGGTCGGGACGTTGTGAATCGCGCTGAGCTCCGTGGAGGTGTTGTTTCCTTGTTTAGGATACACAGCCAAACACAGCCAAACTCATCCTGAGCACACACAAAGTCACAGCCGAAGTAAAAACAATAAGTGTGGCTTGATATTGAGTAAGAAAAAGGTTGATAAACGCTGTGAGAATGGGTCTGCAGAGAGAATTTCGCCGCGATCCCAACTGTCTGTTATCAGCCTGCAGCCAGGGAGGAGAAATCAGCTGAGCTGCCTGTGTGTGAGGAAGTCCGTGGATTGGTCAATTTGGACCAATCAGCAGGGGCTTAACATAACGGCTCCGCGGACGTAACGTAACGGCTCCACGGATTGGTCCATTTGGTTCCGGGTACGGCTTGACATCATGCCGTACCCGGAACGAAATGGAAGAATCAAATGGACAATGACGTATCTCCAACGAGGCGTTTTGGGGAGGTATTTTCTGTGTTAGAGTTTTACTCGCTACAGGGTGTACTTTGAGGGTTTGTGACTCTGCACACCGTTTACATGCATAAAAACCTTCATAACACACAAGGGGACGGGTAATAACCGGAAAAGCATGACATGGGCCCTTTAACATCACATTGATTTGTTTCAGATGTGGCTAACTCACTTTCAGTTTAAGTAATGCATTAAAGAGTGACCCAACAATATTAGTTTTGCAATATTTCAAGTTCAAAATCTATAATTTCAGACCATGTTTCAAGGAAGTCACAAATACATTTCAAAATTGAAATCTTTAATTTTTGTCAAAAATGTTAAATTTGACTACTTGAGTCTGTGAAAGCAATACAAATGTGATTATGATCTAAATTATACTATATACTTCAATAAATAATACAATTAAATGTAATGTGGGTGATTTGTTTTTGATTCAATTCATTTAAAAATATTCACTGCCGTAGCTGTCAGAATAATTCCTATCTGCCGTAAATGCAACATGAAGATTACGTTCCTTCAACTTGGTACTTGTAGTTTTATTAAAGTGACACATAAGTGTATTTCACTCTACAGCACGTCTTTAAAACTACACTTCCCACAATGCAACGTACAGTTTTTCCCGTCACAGAAGGTGAGTGTGTGAGCATGTGTATGTTTGGAAGTGTTTAGAAATTGTAGCCTGGCTCAGTGTTTGTCTCGTCCTTTAGAAGCCCCGGCCGTGTGTTCTGTTTTCCCCTTTAACTGTTGAGGAGCACAGCGACTAATCCTGCTAACGAGACGCGTGATAACGTGGCGCGAGCCTACACATCCGCGAGCACGGAAGTCCCTTTAAAGAGCTACCCTGTCTCACGTGATGTGAAGGAGAAACAGTAGGGTTGCGGTCGAATAGTCCACAAATCAGCTTCTATCGTCTATCCCTATCGTCTATTCCTTGACCTCTGTGTGAAACGTCACGGTGTTAAGGGATAGTGGATAAGATAATTCAAAAGGATTTAGGAGAAGAGACTGCGGTGCTTTGAGAATCCGACTGCACTTTCACTATCTGACGTATTTATGATGCGCCAGCGGACGTCATGAATGTGCTTCTGCTGCTGTGGGGAAACTACAGTTTTCTATACAGCAGACTACATGATGTAGAATAAGAACGGACTACTGTAAACTCATCTAGAGACTCTGCACTGTGCCCTGATGCTGTTGTTTTATGCTTTATGAACGTGGACAACAGAGAAACATATTCTTCATGACCAAAGTTGGAATTTAAATAAAAAAGGAAAGTGAAACTTATGCTCGTCACCCTCTCCCTCCGGTCCACATTAATACAAATGATCCCAATACGTATTATTGTATGAAAAGATCTTAAAATAAATACAAATGTATTTATTATAAACGTTAGTCCTTAACATCTATCACTGTGTATATCACCATTCAAACATCTTTTAAAAGTTGAACAAATCCAGATTTGTGAGAGAGAGAGAGAGAGAAATCATTCCAATGTGTACTATAGGACAGTAAAAAAAACAGTTTAAAAGGGGAGTGATTAGTAAAATATGCATAAATAAAAAGAAAGAATGCTAACTAGGTAACATAAGATAAGAATAAACAAGTGTAAATGATTTGTTATTGGTTGTGGTCATATTCTAAAGATGTTTGGATTATTGAAAAGTATACAGCTCTCTTTCATCTGAGTGTTGAGAGCTGTATTCATCAATTCATGTTGTGCTCAAAGTGCTCCAGATTGATGCATTTCACTTCAACATTTAAAAAAAAATCTTCCTGGGGTTGTATGCCCCCAGACTCCCCTAGAGTATGTGAGGTCCACCCCCAAATAAAGCAGGTTAAAATAATTAAATTGCATACATTGTCTTTTAGTAAACACTGAAAACGGGTCCCACAGACCCAAACAGCACACAAAGGTTAAAGGTAAGCATATAATAATGTTAAAATGTGCTAAATATATACACTGCAAAAAACGTAAAGTAGTAAAAGTAGCCCCCGACTATTTTTTTAATAGTAGCTCTCATCCTAAAAAACGTTGGTGACCCCTGATCTAGAGAATTCGAACGGCTCTTATCATGGCTGGCACTGAGGTACTTCCGGGTCATTTCACTCCGTTAGGAAGGTTCCTAAGCTAAATGGACTATTCGACCGCAACCTAGGCTTGTTTGAGATGAGCTGGGCCTCGACTCGAAAGTAGACGAGAATAGCCGATTGCAGCCGGGGGAGGTCTCAAAAAGCTCGCCTGAAGTCGGACAGCTCGGAGTCGGCTTGACTCGGTTTGCATTTATAAAGAATGCACAAATGTGTTTAATCGTTAATGTCAGATATGTACTAAGTAAATACATTTGTTCCTGCTCAAGATTAGATTCAACTTTATTGTTATTGCACATATTACAGGTACTGAGACAACGAAATGCAGTTTAGCTTCTAACCAGGAGTGCATAAAGCAGTAAAGTGAAAAGTAATGTACACAATCTACAGAATAAAATATAGAATGAATTGAATGATGAATAAACAGTGAGGGGTATGAACACACTAGATATACACAGTAGCCTGTGAGCAGTATGAACAGTATGAACAGTGGGTATGAATACACTAGATATACACAGTAGCCTATGAACAGTATGAACAGTGTGTATGAATACACTAGATATACACAGCAGCCTGTGAGCAGTATGAACAGTGTGTATGAATACACTAGATATACACAGTAGCCTATGAGCAGTATGAACAGTATGAAAAGTGGGTATGAATACACTAGATATACACAGTAGCCTATGAACAGTATGAACAGTGTGTATGAATACACTAGATATACACAGCAGCCTGTGAGCAGTATGAACAGTGTGTATGAATACACTAGATATACACAGTAGCCTATGAGCAGTATGAACAGTGTGTATGAATACACTAGATATACACAGTAGCCTATGAGCAGTATGAACAGTGGGTATGAATACACTAGATATACACAGTAGCCTGTGAGCAGTATGAACAGTATGAACAGTGTGTATGAATACACTAGATATACACAGTAGCCTATGAGCAGTATGAACAGTGTGTACAGTATGAATATGCTAAGATATATAAAGTATGAAAATGGTAAGCAGTGCAAGTATAGTATAACATATATAGATATTAATTTCATGATGATAAACATTGTGGAACAATGATGAAAAATGTGAATGGAAGTGACGACGTAAAACTGACAAAAAACTACAAAAAACCTTTGCCGAGCCAATTGGAGAGTTTCATCAGCAGCACGGGGTAAAACCCACCAATGAGCGCTCAGCTCGATATACGTGGAGAGAAACTGCTCCGCCTCGCTTTCAAGGGTGCCGGCGTCTTTGTCCCGCGAGATTTCAACGTCTCATGCAGTCGAGCCTCCAGAGCATGTCGGACAAAATTACTAACCATCATGCAACGCACTAGCAAGACAGCGGTCGCAATTGCGCAGGTCTGCGTCGGTCTCGCTCATCTCAAACGAGCCTCGTGTTAGCGGCAGCAGCGCGTTGAGCTGTAGGTGAAGCTCGGTCCGCTCAGTGTGCCCGTGTCTCTGCTTCATGCAGTAATAATGCTCTTCGTTTTATTCACCCGGACCTCCACACCTCCACATAAACAGAGTTATTTTAGTAAACGATTCAACTGTCTAAACACCAGTGATACACAAAGGTTTCACCAGGTCAGGATATTCATGAAACTCATGTGTGTTATATAATAGTATCTGTCGGTTTCATTTTTGGCACTTTGGCCGTGAAGGAAATAAACAACATTTATTAAAATACAAAAATGCCATTCCATGTAGACATTGTCAATTTATTAATTTTTTATTACAAATTAAACTTTGTATAGATTATAGCTTTAGTTAACCTAAATGGATGGGTAGCTTTGCTGTAGTGCCAGTGTGATGGTAGTGTGAGCTTGCAATGTTTCAGTGTAGTTTGCTCAACACTTGCAAGCATGTATACATGTTTATACGTACACGGATGAAGGTGTTTTGTACGTATACTGTAGGGTACACCTGTATCTGCTTATTGATACAACGTATGCATGTTTGTACAGTACATTTCCACAGAAGCTAACGTTATGTACATGAACAATAGACCATGTATCACTTTACTTTAATCTTTGCTCTCTGTTTATGTATTGCATACATATTATTTCCTGTTAACAAGAACTATGAAAAAGTAGTTTTTCCAGACTTTTTACAAATTTGAAATGTTACCAGAAGACATTGTTAACCTTCTAAAATGTATAAGGCTTAAAACCTACTCAAACTTGTTTTTGAATCAGCTCTTAAGATTTTTATTTACAGAGTGCTAAAGCTATACTCACCCTCTAGTGAGGTCCATTTTAAAATGATCCCTTGAAAAGGAGGACTTTGAATAATGCATGTTCCAGCAGTTTGAGAATAAGCTGTCCCATCACTTTACACCATAAACATGAATTGTGAGAGCAACTGAATGTGATCATTTCTAAGTTGGAGGCAATTTAATTCAACCATTGCAGTGATTTACACTGCCTGCTTTACTGGCAGTGAGAGAAGGACTCCATGTTTATCTTGATGGATGGAGGCCCATGGCCACTGCATTACAAGTTGGATTATGCATTGTTTTTAGTGATTTGGGAAAGTCAGTTATTTATTTATATATTTCACCATCTAAAAACTTTATTTGTGGTAGTTGTGTTAGCTTAGGGGAGGATAAGGCAGACAAGTTGGCACTTGAGTTGTGACTGAGTCATGATGTGGAGTGCTGTTGGATTATAAATGATGAAGGAATAATGAATCTAAAAGTGAGACAAAGTTCTGGAGTAGTTAGCCTTGTGTTTGAGTTGTTTCTTGAACATGATTTGGGTGCAGTAAGAGCATCTGAAGTCAGGTTTGAGCTCTGTCCTAACTATTAAAAGAACCCAACTTACTCTGTGATGGAGTGTGTAATGTGAATGATACATTGTTTTATTTGCCTGAGCGCTGCACCACCACGCAGGAGTTTTCTGTTTCACTCAGTTTAGCAGAAGCATTGCTGGGATTTATGTATGGTCACTAAAGTCTATGCACTGATGATAATTCAATCCGGAGAGACGGTTTTGATGTAAGAATACATATTTATTGCCAGGAATACACAAATGAATGTAATGGAGTTTTGGCGATTAGGCCCCGTTGAGCGGGAGTATCATTCGGGAGGGGAGAACCGATCCGATGAAATCTCCCGGGGTCTAGACACTGGTGGTGGTGAATGGATAGTTGGGGTCGGTCTGAAGAGGAGTGACTTGGCTTGACCCTGGATTCAGAGGGACAGGAGGTGAAAAGGGGGTGGAGGAGGGTTGCGTCCAGGGGCGGCGGGTACTGTAGGCTAGGGAAGGCTAAGCCTTCCCAAATATTTGTGTCACTGCATCCTGGTAAAATAAAAATATAATGTATAATCAGGGGTGCACATAACTGGTACGCAGGTACGCATGCGCGGCAACAATCTGAAATGCGTACCGTCACTTGTGTCACAAAGCGCATTTGCGTACCGACGTACTTGTGAAGCTTTTCCAGAAGGCGGTTAGGTCACCGGACGACAGAGTCGGTCTCCGTGTGCACAGACAGGGCTGCTGTTAACGTTGGTCTGTACAGCAGCCCTGCGCTAAAACAGCTGTTCACAACGTTCACACGCTCCGAGGTCACGAAGCTCTGTACTCCACTCCAGGTACTCATCTGAGTACCTCACTGAGAAAGTTGTGTGCACCCCTGTGTATAATGTTTGTGTCTTTGACATTAGCGCTGCTATGTAGCCACCTGTGCCCTGTACTACGAAGCCAGTTCAACAGACCCTGGATATGTTTGAGTTATCTTAACTAACCCTAACAAACGAGATCTCGCTAAGCGGTCCTACGACGCTGGTTATCAACTCGGTAACTCAAGCCAGGGTTTCTCTCTCCAGCTGAGAGCGCGTTCACGTGAAAGGGGCGGGGTTAGCAACATTTGACCAATCACAAACAGGGACAAGTGTACTGACAGCGCAGCGTCATACTTCATTAATGAAAAGTAAACTAATATTAGACAAATATGAACTTTAAACATCCATGACTTAAACATATAATCCAGGATACAAGCCACATAGTTGCACCTGCAAGGTGAATATATAACAACTGGTTAAAAAATAAATAAACTACAGAGTGTAGTACAACAGTTTTATGATATCACTGCCCCGTCCAAGACACGAGTGGATCTGACTTTAATTACATTTGACTCCAGTGTTTCGTCAACTTAATGTGTTGCTTAAAATAATACTTCTGCATACAGTATGTGACACTGTGAGTGTTGCACGGCCAGATACGGCTCAAGAAGCTGACTCAGATAAGGAAATATATGATACATTATGATGTGATATGATCGATGATCTGATTGATGATGTGATATGAATGATAAGTGCGACACGTCGGACAGGAACAGACATACACGATGCTGTACAATGAGTTGGGCTAAGATATATTTTTTGCAGTCAGTTAACAGTAGGGCTGACTTAAATCGAATGTTATCGAATTCACAATATTGTCTAGTGCAAAATCTGAATGGCAGCAGGCGCAGTATATGTGTGCTGGTGGATTTTACAAATTGAATTCTACAGAAACTATTTTTCTTCTAATAAATAAATAAAGACGTTAATAAATACATGCTTACAAAGATCTGTACAGTAATAAGCAACAAGAACTCAACCTAACAAAAATGGCAGATGTTGCAAAAACCACAGTAGATATGACTGGCAGGGATAATATTCAACATAACTACGGCTCACCAGTTTATTTCATAACAATAAACTATTGTTCCATGTATTGGTGAATATATATGTCCTCAGTGCCTTGAAAGGTTTTAGTATCTATTTTTCAGAGAGACTGGTTCAGCTCCACTCTGTGAGTTGAGAGGCAGAGCTGCAGGGAACTGTCAGGTGGTTGGAGTGACCAGCTGGATTTTTATAAATGTTCTGAATAATTTCTTCGCCTGTTTTCAATGATGCTGTTAAGGAAGTTCAAATGACCTCCCCCCCTGTAATGACAGCCATCTGTCCGTGAGGAAAGCAGCTCCTCTGAGATGTCAGTGAGCTGCAGAACCCGAGTGTTGGTGCAACATTCTTACGATTGCTGCTAAATGTTCGATTTTAAAGAAAAAGCCATCTGTCCTTGTAGTGTGTACCAGTGCTGATATGTGGTGGAGCAGCAGTGTGTGTTTACATAAAGCATTAACAGTGCATCATTAGATCAGTGACACTGTTTCCCTCAGATCGGCTGACCTGCTTTGCATCATAACTCCACGTGGAGATTTGCTAACAGGGATGCACAATGTAAGAGAGCCTATTTGAATTATGCAACATTTATTCATGCCACAACAATGCCTTGCACAGTGGATTTGGTTCCTCCATTTCCATGTATAATTCAACAGAGCTGCGTCCATTTTCTCAAAGCTCTGTATTTTCCCGCCGCGTTTGACATATGCGGACATATTGTGTTTGTTGTGCGTCATTTCTGTCCCTGTAACATAAGTTCTCCAGTTAGACGTTTGGAGCGGCATGCGCTGTGTGTGTCTTCAGAGCCAGCCCAACACATTACACTCTCTCACTTTTATACAGATTACTCTTTGGATCTATCTCACTCACTTCAGTGACTGCTTTGCAAAAGAGAACTGAGCCAGTTAATTCAATATTTAGATCTGTGTGAATATTTCAAATGTTATCCTCACCAAACAGTGCTTCATAGTTGACTTCATTGGCCAGATGAAGAAAAAAGTATGTTTTCAATACACATGTTAAGAAATTAGATCAGCTGATGTTTTCCATTTAACTCAAATGTATATAGAATGAAACAACTAAACTACTCAGTGGTAGTGTTAAAATATTAATCTTCACAAACTGTTAACTGGTGTGGGACTGAGAATATGAACACAAATACTCAATACACTTTGGATTTACTAGCAAAATATGATTTACACAAAGGAAGATGTCTAGCTGTTTTAAAAGCATTTAAAATGAATTAAAAAATAAATTTGTTTCAAGTACACACTTCTATACATATTTTAAATAATTTAGCTTGATCATTTTATTTCAATATGACAGACAAAAACATTAGTTTGACTGTTAAATGTAATCCATGGCTATTGCTAAAGTTCACACGGCACAGCTACAGAGGCTTCGTGCACAGTGCTGTCACCAGCTAATGTTCACGTCATATCCCCTGAGGCGCTGAACTAAACTAGCCGAGGGAACTGGTCTAACTTGAAGCTGATAGCACATTGTGCTGTGTCAGTGTTTTTCTTCATATCTGGTACTGTAGATAGTGTCGGGCTCAGAGAAATGAACACACATATCAACCTATATGTTGTCAGAGCTCTTCTGGCCTTTCTCTAGTCTGTGACACTGTATGGAAATTGAAGTAGTAGATCGTTGGAGAGTGGCTACTTTGGGTGAAGATTCCTCGGTTGTAATTCAGCTGTCAGAGTGTGTGTCTAGGTGCAAACTGCCAGAGGTCAGAGGAGCTGCCAAATTATTTTCACTGTGAGGTCAGAAGGTCAACGTTGAGGTGTGGAGAACAGGGCTCTGCCGGACCTCAAGCTGAATATTAATGCTCCACCTCCCCCTTAGTGGATCTCACATTTACATCAAAAATCACATCCATCCTGCTTTCTTCTCCCACAGGCCGAGAGAGCAGAGATTCCTTCCTTCAGCAGCAGCACTGTCCTCCTTACAGGTAAAGACACTCAGCCAGAACTCTGCTCTCTCATTTCTGTTGGAGTGGTTTATCATCTTTTACCCAAATAACAATTGGCTTGGAAACTGGATTGCCGGTTCAAGTCCCCTAGACAGACCAAGCCCAGTGTGGACTGGTACTTTGAGAGCTGCCAGCTACCTCCTGGGCACTGTTCAGGTGCCCTTGAGCAAGGCACCAGACCCCCCCACTACCCCGGGTGCTGTTTAGGCCTATTTTAATTGAATCATTTTAATAAAACCCAGGGCATAATTTTAGTTAATATGTCTTTTTTGTTATGACTTGTGCACATGACAGTGTGTGTGTATGGGAGATAAGGGTTGCTGCTGACATGTATGTTCAGGGTCTGTCTGAGTTTAATGAGGAATTGAATACAGTATAGCCTCTCAATATTCACATTTCACTCAATCAAAAATACTCCTAATAAAAATTAAAATACAAATCTTCCATGGAACATCTGCAATATACACACTAGGGTGGTCCTTAAAATTGAAAGTCGGAAAGTCTAAGCTCCAACCCCCAGAATTCATTCTATTAGTCAAGAAAACTGTCCTGGTGAATTTTTTCCTCAATCTGACAACATTTACCCCCCCCTCATCGACCTTGAAGTTTAGCCTCAGTTGCAGCACCGTGGCTGCTGGTGTGGCAGCCCAGGTCGATGAGGGGGGGGTACATGTTGTCAGATTGAGGAAAAAACTCACCAGGAGAGTTTTCTTGACTAATAGAATAAATTCTGGGGGTTGGAGCTTAGACTTTCCGACTTTCAATTTTAAGGACCACCCTATGTGAGGTTAAGCTTCAAGGTTGATGAGGGAGGGGTAAATGTTGTTGGAATTTGAATAAAATTCACCGGGAGAGTTTTCTTGACTAGTATAACGAATTCCGATGGTTGGAGCTTAACATAAATGAATTCAAAAAATGTACCTCTCACGAAGGACCACCCTAATAAACACCTACCTTTCAATGACCACAGACCCCTGGTAGAGTGTGAAGGGTACTTTTAAAATAAAAATAAAATATAATTCTTGAATCCAAGTGGAGGCATATTCGGCCTGCATTGAGATGTCAATGTTTGAGCTATACAGTTTATAGCTTACAGTGTGTAAATAAGACATATTTGGAGTTCTCACCAGTTACATTTGTTCACTGATGACAGTGCTGTGATAGGAGTTTCCATTAAAAATTCATTGAGGGCGTGACCAGTATTCAGCAGAAATCCGTTGCCAGCAGGGGACCTGTAAGCTACCGTGGCTGGATCCTTGTGTCCTTTGGCTCCTTTATAATTGGGATGTTTTTTTCTAGTGGTGGGGGTACTTGAACCCAGCTGATCCAACTGCAAAGCACTCAGGCCGTGCTGGAACAGTGTGTTGTGTCGCTGTAAAGCACAGTAAGTGATGCTCTCTCCCTGGCTCAGGTGTCAGAGGTGTGCTGGTTTGCAGCAAATTAAGCCTCTCTGCAGCTTTCATCCAACATCTCTTCTGGCTGTTTCTGCTCAGAACTACTCCAGCTAACAAAGTGATGAGAATATTACATTTCCTATAGATGCCTCTCTATAAACGCCTCCCACTGGTTTGCCAATGGAAAGCTTTCAATGTCAAACAGCAGGAAATCTTTGCATGTTCAGTAACAAAACACACCTGAAAGCATACGGTTAATAGCATACAATTATATTTAAAAAAATGATTTCTGTGATAAGTTCTATACTTTTGAATATGCAGTTACATCACTGTCAGCGCCTAATGCCGAATGTTGCACAAAGAAGGCACTAACATTTCCTGTCTACAGATCCCAGCAGAGGATCATCTTTATCCTCATGCAACAGCTTGTGCCTTAAATCCAAAAACCAATGCTATTGCTCTCAAAAACATTAACTACTTAGTTTCTAGTCAGACTTGTTTTCTCCCTCCATTTGTTTCTGTAGGGGCAGGAGCATTTTTAATCTCCAATGACAACCATGTCCTACAGAAAGATAATCCAAAATATGGTTTGAGGGAGAGGGGAAGGGAGAATGGAATTAGCTCTGATGCAGTTTACCAGTCAGTCCCGAAAAGTCATATAATTGCCCAGAATGTCCTTGAAAACAACGAGCTGCCTAAGAAACGTAATGATTGTGCAGTAAAATAATGATCAGGTTCTTTAATGAACTGTCACAAGCATTCTCAAAATATATATATATATATATATATATATATATATATATTCAGTTCATCATAGAGTGTTCGTTCTCCAGCACACACAAAAAACAATGTTTGCTTTGTGCCAATACTGGGAACTAAGAATGATGTCAAAAACTGAAAAGGATCTGTACCTCTGGATTTATTTCCAGTACCTAATTGAAGTACCAAAATATGAACTTCGTGTCCTTGGTGTAGTGTGCTGAAAGTAAAGCTGTCAGTATGCTTCACAGGAAGTGCTTGTCAAATGAAGAGCTATGGAAACTATCGGGGGCTGCATTAAACAATTGCTGTAACCTTCCGATACCTGCACTCCCTATTCATGCTGTGATTGGCCAGTTGTGCCCAGATGAAAAATGTGACAGCGTAATACCATATGACAAAGGCCCGTATTGTAATTTTTTCTTAAAGGGGACATATCGTGCTATATTTGAACAATATATTGTAGGGCCATACCTATATAAAGTATATAAATATTAGGGCTGTCAAGTTAACGCGTTAATAACGCGTTAACGCAAAAAAAAATTAACGCCACTAATTATTTTAACGCGATTAACGCATGTGTATTTTTTGTCCTCGGCCGCCGTAGTTTCAGAGCACATCGAGTGTAAAATACCATCGACAAGCTGATGCTGACAGCCTCGCTCCTGCCGCCCGCTTGTGGCAGACCACACTTCCACGCTCACCGGCAGGCCCGGACTGGCCATCGGGAGGACCGGGAGGGAGTGTGTATGTGTGGCGCGACTCACGCGAGCGAGGCACACCTTACGTGTTGTTGTTGTTAGCACCTGGTGCTAGCTAGCTGCGCTAACGGATTTAAGGAGCTGTTTCAATGACATTTCGCCGACAACTGCGCCGAGCACTTGACTTTATGCAGGTAGCCAGACAGTGTGACATTGTATGAAAAGTCAGCACACTCAGCACGGATCGTACGCGCAACATGATTGCAGCGTCCAGGCAGCTCCTGTTCGAGCATATATGCCTTGAGCTGCACATAGCTCCAACGATTCATCACAGTGTCCACACACACACACACACACACACACACACACACACACACACACACACACACACACACACACACACACACACACACACACACACACACACACACACACACACACACACACCACACACACACACACACACACACACACACACACACACACCACACACACACACACACACACACACACACACACACACACACACACACACACACACACACACACACACACACACACACACACACACACACACACACACACACACACACATTGTATGAGAGAGGTTCCAGGTTGAATTGAGGCGAATATTTGTAATGTTCAGGTTGTTGTGTTTAATATTCATGAGAATATTTGTCATTGTTCAAATGATAATAAACAAACATATAAAGCATATTTGTCCACTCATATGTTGATAAGAGTATTAAAAACTTGAAAGATATCCCTCTAAGGTACATTCAGAACAGATAAAAAATGTGCGATTAATTTGCGATTAATCGCGATTAACTATGGACAATCATGCGATTAATCGCGATTAAATATTTTAATCGACTGACAGCCCTAATAAATATAGTTTTCTTTTCAAAATACCAAACAGATCATGCATTTTAGCCATGCCTCATTTCGCTCCATTTGCTCTTTCCAGCACTGTTTTTGCAGGGGGCTGATTCTGTGAGCTGCAGCTGACCACGCCCCCCTGCAGGAGAGGGGAGCGTGCTCTGATCAGCTGCTGGGCTGTCAGAAGAGGGGGAGAAAAAGAGATCTCCGTCCTCCGTGTTTTATTCTTATATATGATTATATAGAGTCGTTATTCATTTGTTTTAAAGCTCAATAAATAACAAAGAAGACCTTTGACCGGCACTTTTCTAATTTTGTCCGGAAGATTTAAAATTTAACGGACATGTTGACCGGCGAAAAAAAATCGAACTGAAACTCTGCCGCACGGTCCCCTCGTTCCTTGGAAGAGGCGGAGAGGTGGGTGTTTGTCATCTGCTGGTGGACTAACCGGAGAGAATTACAGTGCTTGCCTCGATGTGGAGGGATTGCATTGAATTAAAGCAGCAGGAGCAAACGCTTGCCTCGGGGAGGGAGAAAAAAAGTCACAGCGGAGAATAAACAGAAGGGCAACCATGGCAACCATGCAAGGGAAGTGCATTTTGCATAATGGGTGACCTTTTAACCTCTTCTACACCGCACCCCCGATATCGGGGGGAAAAACGCGTCATCTGAGGAAATGTAAAGCGGTCGCAAACAACACTAGCGGACACGGACAATTTATGAATGAGTTCTGTCTTTTGTAAGCTGAATTGATCAATCATTTGTCAATAAATATGGGCGAAAAACGTCACTTGTCCTAACTTCATGGTCAATGTGGATGCGTAATTGCACGTTTGTTTCTTCCATGTCTGGAACACAAGAATGGAAATTTAGCATTTGAGGCAGATGTAACGCTTTAATGTCACCATGCGCTTTCTTGCCACAGTATAGACAGATACAGGACAAATATCAACAAAGTTTTGTTGTGTGATAAGAGCTACATGATCTGTGTTCTCTAGATGAAATCCCGATAGTGTTCATCATACCAGAACATCTGTTGTTTTTACAATGAAAGATACAATTTCTCCAAGTAAAGCAATCTGCACAATCTCTGCAAAATCAGGAAGACCAGCAGTACAACCATGAGCCACAATCATGCCTTTTGAGTACCTTGTTCCCTGGAAGGTGACTGTCTTGGCCAGTTGAACATGAGATTGAAAAGTAGATAGACGCCTGATATACTCCTGAACATTTGCATGCAGAACAT